GGATGTCTTGTTGGGCCGTTTAAATGGAATTGCGCAGGAGTCTAATATGTATGTATGATGTTTTAAGCTGTACTCATTGCGTTATCAAGTTCAATTACTGCCAGATTTAATGTTCTCTCCTTTTAATTTTGCTTTTTCCCCAAACAGACATATGCCTACAGCCACCGCCAAGGTCAGAAGGTGTTTGCACCATCGAAATTGAAGGTTTCTACTTTGACTCACGTACCAATGATTGCCAAATGTATGTATTAGGCGGTTGTCGCACCGTTCCGGGACAAAGTTTTGGCTCACGGCAAGATTGCTTGGACACTTGTGTACATTTGACACGGCATATACAGGACTTGCGTATCAACGAATGAGCAATGGAGTTGGCTTGGAGTAGCAAAATGAGCGGAACTGCGCGAATAATACTTGAATAATTATAAGATAAATAAATACATACATCCTTATATGTATAGTATATCTTGCATTTTTTATTAAAATACATTATGTATACTTTTTTTTGAAATTTTAGCAGATTTATGTCCATTCCAAGAAACTACCCATGTAGACGAAAAATCTCCAAAGAGGTCTATTAAACCTTCTTGCTGTTGATCTATTATATAGATTGACCTTGGACCGGGACCTTGTTCCTTGGAACTTCGAAAGTTTTAACAATATCAAGTTTTGGAACTCATATGTCCAAAAAACTTGGAAAGTAGGGGAACTTGAGAGAGCAAAATGACATTTGTTTTGGAGGGGAATTTGCAAATTTTTAACTTGAAACAATTTGCCAGTAAAACAAAGCTAATCACAATGTCGCCAGGTGCAATTTAAACAAATAAAGAAACTGGTTGTGGGGCGTTTATGGTTGAAATTTGACAAATTAAACGTATTTGCGCAGAAGTCCACGTAAGTTGGACCTCGCATCTTATAACGTCCGAAATTCATATCCACATATCCTCTGGGTAGCGAACAAACACCCGTTTGAGAGCGAGCTAAAGTGAGAAGGCGTAAAACTTCGCTCTCTCTTTTTGGTGACAACCACGCAAACGTATAAAGGACTATGATTTGAGGGAAGGTGCTTCTGCCCGGCTGTTTGATGTTCTCGAGAAGATAGGCTGACATCACCGCCATCCAAGAAATGCGTTAAACGGGGCAAGGCAAGAAATGCCAGGAGCATTGCGATGTCTGCTACAGTTGCCATACTGCGCCCATGTCCCGATGAAAGAAAAGGACGAGGCGTCCAAGTATCTCTGCTATGAGCGCTTCAGAGACAGAATATCAGAATCGTGCTTGACGACTTGAATGCCAGGGTGGGCAAGGAAGGGATCTTTGGCGCCAATTTCGGAAAATTCAGCCTACACGACGAAGCGTCCGACAACGAACTGAGGCTGATCGAACTCGCCGGGGTCGGAAACATGGTAGTATGCAGTACTACGCTGCGATTGGGCGCAAAACGACCCATGTGGGACCGTTATAGGGAACTGAAGAAGGAAACGAGACGTATTTTCCGCAATAAGAAGAGAGAGACCGAAATACGTTAGTGCGAAGACCTTGAGATGGTGGTCGACTGGAAAAGCGCCCGAAAACTTCATCAGAATTAAAGCGCAAACAGTCAACGTCGCGACGTAGCGTAAACGTACGTTGACGTACGTAGCAGCATATCAAACAACAAAGCTGCTGGAGCTGACGACCTGCCAGCCGTGCTATTCAAGTCCGGCGGCGAGGAGCTGATGAGGTGCATGGAACAGTTCTTATGCAGACTATGGTCAGATGAACGCATGTCCGACGACTGGAATTTAAGCGTGCTCTGCCCTGTCTACAAGTCTACGATCTAGTTTTTCGCATTTTCTGACGGAAGTGTAATTTTTAGTTGTGTGACGTTTGAAGATCGTGTGCGACATGTATGTACATAAGTTTTATGTGCTATGCATGAAAGGTCTAAGTCCAGATGTCTGTATTTATGTATGCTCTGTCATTCATACACATTTTTTTTCGCGGCATACTAAATTAAGAAATTTGCTCATCTCGTTGATTATCACTATTATTTTGCGTAATTAACTACCTAAATATGTATGTACATTAGGGTGGTCCAAAAATGCATGTGAAAAAGTAAAGTCGAAATTTGTATGCTCTCACCCCCTATGATTGTTCTATACCGAAAAAATATACCTTTTTTTTATTTTGAAATCATATTTTATAGGTCTGCCAAAACCCTCTGAAAATGCCAAAAAATGCAATGGGGGAAAAAATAAAAAAGCTTTAGTATTAAAAATTGGTTGAATAAACAATTGGGTATTGTTATTGGGAGTCTCCTGAAGAGAACCAGAGTTGTCAGATCGAAAGATATTGATTTTCGAGAATTCCATACAATTAGTATGAAAAGTGGTTTTTCCCATATAAAATACATGGAAAACTTTGAGCGACCTCTAAATATTTTTTGATTTCAAAATACACATACATATGTAAAGTAAATTTATTACCCAAGTTCACTTGGTGGTACACTAAATGCATGGTTCTGACGTATTTGGTTCCAAAAAAAAAAAAATCAATAATTAAAATAATCACACTATGACAGCATGCAACCTTGATAGATTTGGAAAGAGTTCTTTGACCTACATACATACTTCCTCAACTAAAATCTTTAATTAGGCGATAGGCAAAGCATTATGTATACGTGCACATTCATTATCACGTGCTTTTGCCCTTTTGAATGTTATAATTGCTGTATTTTGTGCTCCTTTCTTAAAAAAATAATAATATTGGGTCACATGAAGTCTGCGGATTTTTGTCTCTATGTGGCATCTGGCAACACTAATACACTTGCATCAAAATGACGTGCATTTAAAAGGTGAATTTCAGGCTACCTACCTACCCTGCAAGAACAGTGACTATCATTTGACAAATCATTTGAGTGGCAAGACTGATAGAGATTTCTGTCACTGGCTACCTACAAGTTTCTATCAAATTCTAAAAAGCAGTGTGAAAAATCTGATGTAAACATTTGTGTTCTGTCTTCCTCCGACTTATGGCATTATTTAGTTGTCTCTTTTTAACCAACGCAAAGTTTGTAAATGTGTTAGTAAGGTATATGAGAATGTGTTAGTTTCCATCACACAATTCTTGTAGGGTAGTGAATACATTACAGTAATTCGTCGCTCGAGTTAAACGTTGTATTGATTGATTGATATATAAAATTTATAAAATTTTTTTATTAGAGGTGAATTTGGCAGTGAAACGATTTCAATTATATTATTAAAACACGTGAGTATACAAAAGTTTTATCAAAATCGGTAGAATTTTTCTAAGTAAACGTGCATTAAATTTTGTTGCAGCCGGATTAAATTTGGTATATAAAACAGAAGTTTTTAGTTTGCACTCCTATGAAAGGCAGGCGTGTCCTTCATCAGATTTTGCTCAAATTTTTAATTCTGAACATTCTGATCGGAACCAGGATGCAGTTTCACAACGCGTCCCAGTCGCCACTCGTTCGGTGGTAAAATATCATCCCTCACGACTACTTATTCCCCCTCGTTTATGTTAACTTGCTGATGTTTCCACTTGTGCCTTTTATGTAATTCTTTCAAATACTCGTTTTTCCATCGATAACTGAATTAGTGGTGTAGAACTTTGAGAATTTGCCACTTTTTTATTAGGGAGTGATTTCCTACATTCTGTTCTGGTAGTGACAGGAGTAGAGCACCGCGTAAGAACTGGCCTGGATTTAACGCCGATACGTCGATGGGATCCGGGGACATAGGAGAGAGTGGTCGCGAGTTAAGAACCGATTCGATTCGCACAAGGAGCGTGTTGAAGGCTTTTAACGGCTGCTTCCCACAGGCAACGCATATGGGGAGCATAGGGAAGTATAAGCTGTCATGATAGCCCATGGATAGCGTACTTTCCCGACACATCCGAAACGACTTTGTTGAGAAAATGGGAAAATTCTCTTTGAATTAATTTCTGGGCTCCAACAAATATTTTGCCATTGTCAGACATTACTTCGTGTGGAAGGCCAGTGCGGCCGACAAATCGAGCAAAGGCCGCCTTAAAAGCCTCAGTGGTCAAATCAGAATACACTTCGAGGTGAATGGCTTTGGTTGAAAAACAGTCGCAGGACGGACGTTTTCACCATAAACGGGTCGGAGAAGTCAAGACCAGTGGTATGAGCGTTCTGGAGGCAGGGCGGCCATTATCTGAGATTTCATTTGTTGTTTGTAAATCGTACAGGTTTTACAGAGAAAAATGCATTTTTTGGCCTTTTGCCTTATACGTGGGATATAAAACTGCTGTTGGACTATACGAATCATAAGTTGCTTTTCGGCATGAAGGAGTGTTTGGTGAGTGAAATCAAGCAAAAGAGAGCACTATCTAGAGTTATCTGGGATTATGATAGGATGCTGTTCGCTGTAGCTGAATGTAGCATACGCGAGACGGCCGTTCACTCGCATCACGTCCGCTTTGTCTAACATTGGGTTGAGGGAAAGTAAAGAACTCTTTTTGCTGATGAGTTTCGCAGCCTCCAATGTGGCGATTGTTTCTTCAAAATATTTGTCTCGGTGGACAGGTCGCAGGACCAGCAAAGATCATTAGAACATATCCCCAACTTATGTAGGTGACCCCTTAGTCTGCAGTGTCCTGTAAGGATACCTGTTAGCATTCTGTTAACTTTGGAATTTCTTCTTATTAAATCCTCCCAGTAAACACTTTGCCTGGTGCATTTCTCCTGACCTCCGGTAAAGGTATGAGAAATGGAGATAAAGTTGTGTCAAAATATGTTGACAAAAGTGTGAAAACCAGCCTTTAGTGTGTCCCTCTCTCTCTAGAACTCCTTCTTTACAGTCAGTATTACCACTATCATTAACGTTACAATAATCATAACCATTGCTATTGCCATTACCATCACCACTACCCTTACAATTACCATTACCATTACCAATACTACTAACCCTATCTAATTGCCAATATAATTAACCATTGATATCACTTTGCTAAAGTATTTGCTTCTAATTACATATACGAGTATTAATCCTCACCCCTAAAAACGATCTTCTAAATATATCATGATGCCTGTTTTTTTAGCAAATGTCTATATCTAAGCATATCAACTCGAATGTGATTTCAGTTTCACACCCCACTTAATACTTCTTACTACATGTAAACCTTCTGAGCACTATCAAATACGCATGCCTACATACAGTTTCATATACATATTTAATCAGTACAGTCCAGCGCGTTATGCTTGCGTGCTATCGCCTTCAATTGCCAACGCTTCAACGTCCAACCGCCACGCACGTGAATGTGTTCGTGCAGTCTGAGTTGGCGAATGGATTTCACGTGATTATAAAATAGTGTTCATAACTCTATTATATGTACCCACTAAACAATTTGTGTTGCCGGTAATAAGAAAACGTGTCGCCCTCGGAAACAAATTTATTGCCGGTAATATTGCCATCGAATCGATTTCCT